AACAGGCAAGGCCTTAGGTGATTCACCAGTCGACGGACCTGATGTTGGTATGTTAATTACATGCGTGATTATTCCGGTGAGTCTATCACGCCTATCGTTTTAAATCGATGGTCAATACTGCTGCGTCGACTTCCGTCTGTAAACCCAACAACAACTCAACGATTGGATGGTCCATCGTCTGAGTCAGTCAGGCGACCGTTGTCTTCGTGATCCTTATATAATTTGATTTGCCGTATTCCTCTGTTTCTTGACACGTCGATCGTGCCCATCTTGCTCCCCCCCCCAAAAAAAAATCAAACCACGCGGTAATACCGACCACCACAGTAATGGGTAACGGACCACCACGGTCAAAGTCCACCGTCTGTGGTCACCGACCGCGCCTTGCTCCGCATCCGAAGCCACCAGGGCACTCTTGGGCGAGAGCTCCTCGTGCCGTTGCCGGAGCAAAAACAAGAACCAGGTGAGGAGGAAGTGAACGACATGTGGGGTGGGAACTTCTCCGGAGAATCTACGGGTCTTGGAGGGTCAATAAAGGGCTCTTAAACAGAACTTTGTAACTTCCTCTTCAAAAAGGAGGATCGCATGTCTTCTGCTGCTTGCTTGTTGTCAACAGGGGTGTGGGGGAATATATTCCCCGGTGAAAATCCTGGCGACATGGTCATGGTCTTCCATCACACCGAGGACCTGACATAGTCATCCATCTTCTCAAATATAGGAGGGACCCTTCTCCCAGAGTTGGATCAACAAACTGTCAATAAAATTAGGTATCAGGTATATTCCATTCCCAGGGCCCAGTATTCCATTCCCAGGGCCCAGTGGATGATGATGGGGCTTGGTTGCAGGCCGAGATCTCCCAAATAGTGATCATCTTTCATCGACTGCTACAGGCAATGGGACGTTGTGACATACCGAACAGCGCATGCAATGTCCTGCAAGACCAAACGCATCGATCGCTCAAGGTGTTTCCCCATGGCCAGGCTGAAGTGGTTGCTAAATCCGACTTTTGGCTTGAATCCCCAGCGGTGGTTTGGGCATTCTCCAGACATAGACCAAAATGGGTCTTTGAGATTCACTGAGATTGAGTCAGGTTGGAGTCAACAAGCTTGAGGCGAATAGAAGCAACCTTTTGTTGTTGAGGTTCATTTCCTCACACTCAAAGCATCCAGGACCTCCCAGTCAAACACTGTCCTCTCTCTGGGGCAGTACCCAAACACTGTCCTCTCGCTGACAGTACCTTTAAGCATTCTGCAAGCGAATCCTTTGGTGCATCACTCTGCCACAGCACCACCCACTACCTCCAGAGGCAAGTGATCATCCGCTCGATCCCTCTCCTTTGCAGCGCGGTGCACGGACCAGGAGCTTAAGCGCAGCAAGGGCCGGACCATGCCTCGTGCTGCGGCCCTGGTGACTTGCTGGAGTCGCTCTGCCCGGTGAAAAGAGTGGACAATCCGTGTATTGCGGGGTTGTCTATGGCATCTAGATAGGGAGATACCCCAACCAATGGGTTGTTTGATGTTTTTCTTCTCTGAGTATGTTCGAACTTCCAAGTTCTCTAGTCGACTCCCTACATTGAAAAGAAAGCTGAATGACCTGTGACTGCGAGGGAACTGGAATGCATTGGGGCAAAAACAAAGGCCTCGTACCCGAGAACAACGACGACCCCTCCGGGCCAGCGTGGGGGTCTGGTCAAAATGCTTCATGTGTTCTGTACAGGAACGCTTGCGCTGCCTGAAAAGCAGAGAATCTGGGAGATTTAGATCTTCTATTGGTGGGCTGGGTGAACAAGGAGGAGTCCCAATCCTTTTTTCTCTTCCAGGCTCCCCATCTCTTCTGGGCGCGCGCCAAATTGTCTCAGCGTTCCAAGTGGCGATACATCAGAGGTCTGAAGAACAGCAGCAGCCGCCTGAGTGCGCGGATGCGCGGATCATCGTATTTTCGGAACGTGCAACTCCTTTGACGCCGGGACCGCCGGGAGCTGCAAAGGAAAAGTGTTCGATATACCAACTTGGGGGCTGCCCGGCATATGCAATTCAGATCAATTCAACTATTCCTCAGCAAATCCGTAGACGCACTACCAGCATGATCATGACTGACTTCTCCCTCCTCCTCTTTTTTGCTTTTCTTCCCGGCACCGGGGGTTTCATGGTCCCACCTGGTTCATTGATTCATCAGGAAAGCTTGTTTTCTTCGTGTCAACCTCTCTCGATGCTGCCCGGGCACTCATAGAGCCTCCATTGCTTTCTCTTCAACACCGCCAGGAGTGCCAAGCCTCGGTGATCTACCGTCTCGGGGCCATTCAACCCATTTGGAGAAGGGAACCTCGGTCAAACGCCAGCAGTTACAAGCCCAGGTGGAGACCACGGGGGCTGAAAAAAAAACGCCAGACCTGGTTGATTTTTTGCGGAATGAAGGACACAGTGATTCTTTATGATTCTTTCTTGAGTTATTTCCATCCAACAATCCTGGAAGTAGTACCCTTGTGTTCGTAGAAAAGTGGCTTCGAGGGATCATCATCCTTGATGATTGAAACAACATGAAACAACCTAAGACCTAAGACTGCTGAGCTCCCTCATTGGTGGTCTACACTTGTCAGTCCGTAGCTGGAACCATTGAACAACAACAAATAAACGAACGACACGCTTCACACGCATCAGTATCATATGCTTCAAAACAGCTTGGCGCCCACAAACATCATACTATAGGTCACCGGATGTCACAGGTGAATCTACAGTAGTGACACGTTGTGAGACAAAACACTGGTAAGCAGGCTGGGTCTCCCTTTTCTTTGTGTCAAGGACTTTGCAGAAGAAGAAAACACATAAACTCCCACATCCCAACCACACGGCCAAAATCCGCCCGTGGGAAATGGAATCTTTGCCAAAGTACAAAGGCCCAGCAAGCTCAACCGCGGTCGAAAAACCTGGTCGGCCAAGAGAGGCAAACTGACAGTTGCTCGATGTTGCTCGTTTCATTCGCTTGCCCAGTAGGGAAAGCAAGCAAGAGCCTCAAATGGCCCAAGCAAAGCTGGAACAGGTTCAACTTAGAGGTGATATATAAAGATTCAGGAGAAGCAACAAACACAGCTGGCCCTGTCCATCAACAAAGCACTGTTGCCAGGAGTTTTTTTTCCTTAGAGGAGAACCCATCCGTCGATGGATCCAGATGATCTTGGAGACGTGCTGTCCAGCTCGTGAGACCAACCACACATACCAATCACCTTCGGCTTCGGGATTCAGCGGACAAATACCAATCACCCATTCAGCAACACCAAGTGATGGGCAGCTCTACCCACCAATAACCATGAACACATGGAACTGCTTAATTTTTCATGATTCATCTTTCCTCTTTGCTCACTGATCTGTTAGCTCCAGCTCTGTGGCGGAGCCATTTTTCTGGCCGTGGGCATCACATCACATTGCACGCCTGTGAGGAGGGCTCCTGAAGGTTCATGTACTCTTTCTTACATGAAGGGCTTTTGGGATTTGCCACGGAGTGAACGAACCAAGAATTTCCTTTTTGTGACCAACTACTCAAATGCTAGTGACATATAAAGTGACCATTTGGTTTTGGCCTTCTTTTGGAGTCCACGCCACCCTGTCCGCCAGAATTGCAGGCTTCTATGGCTTGTTCTCTTTGCTTGGAAGGATTGAAGATCTCAAACTTATCGACGGGACACAATGTGGCAGCTGGTTCCGGACAAACTGTTGAGCTCTGGTTCTCTTTGTTAGCTTCCCACCCTGCGGCGCTTTGCCCGGAACCAGTTCATCTTTGGATCGAAAGGCATCCTCCACGCACTTCCCCGCCTTCGCCGAGCGCAGCAAGCGCAGCAGCTGGGAGCGATGCCGGATGGCCATCACAAGGGTAGAGAGACTTAACCTTGGAGGGTGAGTCACATCCAGCTCAAGTCATGTAGACTCCGGGTAACGGAGTCATGTGATGTGTATCCACCTGAAACTTGATTGCCCTACCTGGGTCTTGCGACCCTGAATTCAAGATATGCAGCTTGGTCACCCCAGAAGGATCTTAAAAGGAAGAGAACATAAGAGAGCATAAGATATATAAAGAGAACATAAGGTAGAAGACAACATAATATCTCAAAAGGATGGGGAAGAGAAATGAAGAGAACATCAAATAACGCCCCCATCTATCTACTGAGTTCGGCCAAGCAGCCCAGAGGTGACCAATGCCCCCCACAGCCAGGCGCTGAAACAGGTGCCAAGGGCTCAAGGGTGCTAAGGCATCGCTGGTGATGGCGATCAAGTAGGTCTTGCCTCGGTCTCACGGCCGACGTCCGATACGGGGTGACCGGAGTGGACCGAAACAGCATGTGTTGTGGACCGAATGGCTTGGACAACAAAAAACACCTTTCCCACCCATGTTCCATAAAATCATGACACAGCCCCGTTTTAGTTGCCATGGGTGTCATGGTGTGTCTTTCAATATCTTTCAATCGTCAAACTCAGCCCCATGACCACTTGACACCTCCCTCCGAGCTGCTCAAGTTTTCCATCCGCCCTCGCAATGCGCGGCGCCGCGTGCGCGGCGCGATCTCGCTCATCATGTTGTCGCCTGGCCACGCCGGAACGCCGGTCGCCGGCGTCGCGGGCGCGGCGCGGAGGGGCGGACGCGACGTGTTTTCCAGTTTTCAACAACGCAGCTGAACTGGTTTCAGGGTCTTCCTGCGGGAGTTGTTCTTGCTGTGTTCATGGCATGATGATGTTCCGGCTTGGATTTCACAATGTTCTTCTTGCTGATGTACTGAACTCCTCTTTCCACGGCGTGCGAAGGTCGGGAACCCCTTCACCATCTTCTGGAGAGCTCTGGGTAGTGAAAGGGGGTGCACAGTCGAGCAAAATGAGTTGAGTTGCATGTACCAGCTTCACCTGACAAGTTGCAAGCGTTTATGAAAGTGCTGATATATGCTGCGCTCCCAAACCAAAAACTATCGAAACATCAGGCTCACTTTCCAAGCCGGATGATGTTTTCGCCTTTCCCATTGCCTAGCCATCCCCCATTCTGACACCCTTGGATGGGAAAACCCCCGCCCATCGGCCTGAAAGAGCATAAGGATGCCGAGCCGAAACCATGTTGCTCCAGGTGTTGTGCTCAGACCATTGGTCCGACTTCATGTTGTACAAGGACCTCACTTTCTCGGCTACGAGGCACCACAAAAATCTGTGGCGCCCAGACCGAACAAAAAGCGGTGGATGTTGAACGAAAATGCCGAACAAACAGGTATGAATGAATCCGTTCCAAAAGGATGGTGTTTGCAGATGTCCTATCCCCCAACATGCATCAACATCCCAAGGTTTGACCATGTCTTGGCAATATATCCCATTCATTCCCCTTTTCCATGCGCTTAACTTATTGAAGAACCGATTCTATAGGCCAGCATATAACTCTATAGGAACTCTCAAAGTGGTGAAGAACACTGAACACTTTGGTGACTATGGGACCATTTCGGACTCTTCGGAATAGCGGCAGACCGCGTGCTTCTCCCTCCCCGCTACGTGCTTCTGGCCCAGTCTGGTGGTCTCAATAGCTTCGTTGGTCTCAACAGCTGGAGGGCTCGAATCCTCCAGTTAAGCCGGAGGGCTCGAAGCTCGGTGTATGACACATGATAACATGACGGATGCGACGAACGGGTGGTCGGTCATGGCCTGGCCATTCCTGGTATGCGGTCGGTCATAAAAAAAAGGTCACTTTGGAAGAATCCACCAAGTCACCATGCCATCCGTGGACACGATCAATTGGAGCCACATGAAGCTGATAGCTTACATTCCACAAGCTGAAGTCATCAGATGCTACAACCAAGCCGAACCAAGAAAGCGGGGTAAAGTCTTGGACACGAGTCACACGAGTGACATCATACATAGCCATAACATAAAACCCTTAAATTGAACATACTCAGTTTTCCTGGAAATAGAGGTTGGCCTTTGACCCTCTGCTCATATGTTTCATATTTAGTGGTGAAATGAATACCAAGTGGTTAATGATTAAAGGTAATCCACTGATTGGGTAGGAAGCCATACAAGACCCTCAAAAGATCTCGAAGGACAGTTGACCGTCAAGACCATACGAGACCTGACTCTGACCTCGGAAAGCAGTCAGGACGAATCCGTGATCTCTTGGCCAGAATTTCCAGTGCCAAGTCTCTTGAACATCCTTGGCCAACGATCTTGCATTTTGATGATGAGGCAGCAAACGGCCTTGGTGAAGAACCGTCCAAATCGGCGGGCTTGGGCTCTCCTTGGACTGGTCCGACTCTTTGGACTGGTTCGCTGTGGCTGGAGACCGGGGATCCCGTCGCAAAACGTATGTCGCCTTCGCTGGATTTGATGCATCCTTCGGGCCTCAACTGCCATTTGTGTCAGGTGCAGTTGTTATAGTAATTAGTTACCCAGACACTCCATGGGACTGCCATATATATGCCTACATTGACCCCCCAAACCACCCCAATGTAGGCATATATGGCATACATGGAGTGTCTGGGTTATAATAGTTGTTATAGTATACTACGAATGGCCGCGCACTGCGGTGTGTTTTGGTCTCCACATTTGGTCCCCCACGAAACCTCATACCTTCAAGACCCCAACACGACCTGCCTGGGACGGGCATATTTACATACATCGGGGCGGTTTCAGGGTCGATGTAGGTAAATATGCCATGGAGCATCTGGGAGAGGTTTCTCCTTGAACTCGGGATTGTCCACACAACCTTTGCCCCGAAAGTCTTACGGACAAGTGACAAGCCAGGTGTCAACGTGCTTCAACACTTCAGAAACTACTGGGGTGAGCAATCTTCAGTCAACTTCGGAAAAACTGTTTTTCCCCAGTTTTTTAGCACTCTGGATTCTGGTGAGTGTGTGGATTTAAGTCAAGACTTGGATCCTCTGAAGTACTCTGGAAGAATCACCCATATTCATCATGTTGCAAGGTACAGTACTTGGAGGGTCCAAGAAGTTGTACGCAGAGCTTGCCCTTTTAAGAGGCAATCGAGAACTTAAAGGCATGGACGTGAAAGTTATAAACACGAAACCTTTAGCATTGATCGTCACAGTGTGTTTCCGACGCCCCCCCGCATCCGAACTTTCAGGAAATCCCAACAGAACCCAAGTGCAGCACTCCCCAAGCCAGAACAGCTAGGAGGAGTCATAAAATCCTTCCTACGCCCTGGAAGATTCACATTCACAACCCGAAACACCGCTGGGTCTCTTCTACTGGTCCATTTTCAGTTCATGTTAATCTTTTTCGGGTGTAAATCACTGGTCATCAGCCAGCCCTTCGCATCTGCCCTTCGCAAAACAGCCCCCCGTTCACGCCGTGAAAACACCATCGACACAGCATCGAATTCATGAAAGGCACCATGACTCCATGAGTGAAGGAGCCGGGCTCCACCAAATGTTTGGTACAGCCGTCCTGCAACACGGGAACTCCGCTGCTCATCCCAGACACGACCCGTCTGGGACTGCCGAGAAACGGCCAGGGGTGGTTTGGGGGTTCAATGTATATATGGCAGTCACATGGAGTGTCTGGGAATTAGTGGAGTTGGACTTATTTTGTTTAATCAAATTGATAGAAATTGTGTTTGTGTCCTTTTTTGCGCGAGTTACTTGTAGATTGCCATTTGTGTTTCCATATAGCCTATAGCATTCTAGATGTGTGTTGGCATTCTACCATTCTAGAACATCCACGCCTGTATTAGATGTGTTGGATTGTTGTTGGAACATGGGCATGCAGCCAACACTGATTAGGCACTCTCTACATCTGTCTCCTCTGTTTGCGCATATCGTTCCGAACGCCTCGTCAGTGACCTCGACGAGACCCAGCAAGAACGGCAGGCTGCAGCCTACAGGAGGGACTTAGCAAGCGGTCATCAACAATATATCCCATCCGAATCATCCATGTATGGAAGAGTTGGCTACATGACCCCTGAAATCAACAACATGTATGGCTCATATATGCCATACATCGAGTATCTGGGTATGGAAGAGTTGTCTCTCCTCATTTCTCCGTTCAATTATATGACCTCGATGTAAAAGAGGGCGACGAATTGGCCCAAGCGATCGGCCAAACCGGTTGCTCCACCGCTGGCCAACCGCTGGCCACCCCCATCCGTACGCCTCGGATGGAATACACACGGATCGAGCTGGTTCAAGTCGGAGCGCTCGAGACCCCAAGGGTTCAAACACGCTAAACGAACTATGTCAAGTTGCCAACAAAGCATACAAAGCATCAACTTTACCAACCAAATCAGCGCACTATATAGTACTATATCCACACACGGGAGGCAAATATAATATAATAGAACCCAACATAAGTCTAGCCAAACAAGTCCCAAGTGCCTGGAGGCAATATGGCCTGCTGCCCCCCTCCAATCATCTATCTGCAGGCCATACAGCCCCAAACCCGCAATACAGATTGGCGCCTCGCAAAGGAGAGCAAATTGCCGTCACCGAAACCACCCAATCAGGCCCTGCCCGCGAGCCGCGAGCGGTGGCGAGCGCCGGCGAGTGCAGGGTGGGGGGGCAGGCGGTCGATGGGAAAGATAGGTCGACAGTTGGATGGATCTGGATGAAACCCATTCGCAGAAAGTATCGTCTACTGACTGATCAGAAAGGTGTTAGGTCCGCTAGTCTGGAATATAAGAGTTCACCAAATGTTCAACCTTTAATTGTGTTTTCAGAGCGGAAACACATCCCCAAAAAAAGGTTACAGATTATCCACTGACTGGTTAGCTATAAACCACTCCAAGTTTCAAAGAAGTGGATCCCCACTGGCCTCTCGCAGAACCCGGGACAAGCAACACAGCCACCATGTCCAGCGCATTAGAACGACGCGACCGGCGCAGCGGATCGCGCCTGTGCCAATGCCCCAGTGGTCTTCGGCAATCATATTATACAGTGCCACCTGATCAAACTGGACGGATCTATTCCACCAGCCGAACCGCAGCGCGGCTACGAACGGAACAAGAAGCTACGAACGGGGCTCCTGGCCTTACTACTAGGAGCAAGGACGCTACCTAGTTTCCTTGGAGCCAGGAAATGGGAGTGAACGGACACCGGACACCTGGGAGAGCGTGACATCCGAAGCTGTTCAGCCAAATAGAGCAGACTCCTCAGTGCCATGTGAAGCTACCAGGAGGGGAGTTCTTCACCAGCACCTTCCTATGGACCACTCTGAAGAAGTGTCGTTTCTGCGAGGGGGTGGTGACGCGGGAGACCGGTGGAGTCAGTGAAGACGGGTAGATCGGCATACTCATGAGGGGCGGCTGCTCGAACTCTTGTCCTGCGATCCCAACAAACATCTCCCAAGAAGTTGTTGCAAGGAGATGATCAAAGATGATCAAAGAAACAGCCAAGAAAGAAAAATATAACAACATGTCTGGGAGAATTTGTTAGGATTGGTTTCTTCAAGAAACATCCACAATCATCCACACATTGCTGAAATTCTTTGGTCAGCTTCCAATGTCAAGCGCCGGGCTGCTGCTGTGTTACCCCCAAAGCTGTGGCCCACCAAATGCACCGGCGACGTGGCATCCCAGCGCTTCAAGAGGCCTGGCGACGTGTCCAAACAAAAGAAGGGGAGGCAATGAATATCGCTGGAGTGCTTGAACTCATTTGTGAGTCAAAAGCTCCCCCACCAAAACATCCCTATGATATACCTGGAACCCTATTGACCCCTGTTTTGATAGGAAAAGGCCATATTTTGGGTGCTTGCTGGTCCAAAATAGAAGTCATTCAGGTTCTAGGTAGACATCTGTTCATTTTTCAGTAGTCAACTAGTTAGAGTGCCCGGGTGCCATGCCAACCCATGTCATAAAATGGCTCTCGGTCCAAACACGAGAAAAACCGCAGGGCACCGTGAGACTTCCGATCTCACCCGTCTTGTTTTGATATTTTTGATGGCCTATGTGTATACTTAAAGGACATACCAAAGATATCAAAAGAGGGTCAGGATTCAGGCAAAACTGTAAAACAAAAACAGGGCTAAGAAACCGGTCACTTCATGTGGGAAACTTCAACATGATCTTCGCCCATCCACCAAATTCTGCAAGGAAGGTCCATCATCCGCCATGCTCCCCGCCGCCTTGCCCACGAAAGTCCACGCCAAAGCGTGCGTGCCGGTTCTGCTTGGCGTGCTCTTCGCCTCATGCTCCGCACGAAGGGATCAGACAGAAACATTGGGCCGCCGTGGGCGCGGAGTTCGGCGTTCGGGTTTGGACCAAACATCGGGTTGATGAATAAAACGTTTCAGATTTATGTGGTTCAAAAGACCCCGGGTGACCAGCGAACATGAAGAGAATAGAGGTGCCCAAGGCTCCGGGTTTTGACCCATGAGCAATATATTTGGATACGTGTAAACAACTCTCCATGGCGCAGTAGGTTAAAGAAGTGAAGTAACGCTAATGCCGCAATGCATGTCCAAGGGCATCTATACAAAGGTACAGCTTCAACAAAACTGTCATGCTCTGCATCTCCTTCGATGTCTCCCAGATTTGCATCGCCGGGCGGCCATAGTCCACACGTAAGCCCATCCTAGGCGTACTCCGGACGGACCCAATGTTTCTTCACGGCATGAGGGTGGCGTAAGCCTCACGTCTATGTTGACCGCTCTATTAGTAGCTTCTTGTTACTACTAGTAAGGCACTTGTTACTACTAGCGTGGCACTTGTTCCTAGTAGCTTCTTGTTGCTACATTTTCTGGAGTTGCAACATAGAAGAACGCTCCAAATTGCTTCTCATGGCCCAGGTTCAGGCAACTCCCTTTTCTGGCCCAATGGAGGGGTCATGTTGTGCCGCCCTACCGTTGCATCCCGTCAGTCGCACACTGCTGTTGGGCCGATCATCTTTTCACAGTTTTCTCGTTGTTTTTGGACGCCAGCATTAGGGAGCTCCCAAACTGTTTACTTATCCCAAACATTCCATGTCTGTCGTATATGCCTACATTGACCCCTCAAACCATCCCAATGTAGGTAAATATACCATACATGGAGTGTCTGGGTATTATGTAAACTATTATGTAATATCATATAGACATATATAGACTATTATAAACACAATATGGAGTCAAAGCTATTAGGCATACATGGTAAAATGGTAGGCCAAAGAGTCAACCAAAAGCAATGTCTAGAGTCTATATGGTTGTACTAAACTGCAAAACAATATACGCATATATAATGTCAAGCAAACAAGTACAATACACACATGGTCCAAATATGATCACTTCCAGCATGGTTGACATCCTCAAAGTAATCCAACTCTACAGTTCATCTTATGGGGGCCGACCCAAATATGGTCTCTACCCTCAATGCCCTGAAGCTCATCCCAACTGACAGTTGGGCGCCGGAAGGGGTTCCCTCCCAGCTTGGCGCTGGATGAAAGGCGTGTTCACATCGTGAAGAGCTGGAAAACTGCCGGCTCAATGGGAAAGAGCAGGGAGCTGGAGAACCCCCCCCAACAACCCGAGCCGTTGCGAGCTCAGTCCCCTCTCAAAAAGCTTCGAATCTTCTCACATCTGGTACCAACCCTTCAACATTCCGCACTGATGCGAGGCTTGCTGAAGGATAAATGCACAGCATGGGTTGATCTTCATACTTTGAGAACCACACGTTAACAATCGTTAACACACTTGTTTCCAGCATATAACACATGCATGAGATATGGCCAATCTAAAACAACTGTCAATACCTAGAACATCCCAGAACCTTGGACATCTCGCAAGCATGATTCTCCAACCACTTCCTCTCTTCATTGAAACACCTCTTCCATCCTCTTCCCACCCCACACCCTCCCCCAAAACATCCAAAACCAACCGCAAAAACGCACCAGCCACTCTCCCTCATCCTAGAGAGCCCCTTTACCGCCCCTCAGCACACCACCCAGCGTCAGGTGTGCGAAGGCCTCGCAGGCGCGGTCGTGGTCCGAGGACGCCACGCCCAGCTCCACCTCGGTCGGTGGTGGCGGAGCGTCACATGGAGCCGATGCGTGCTCCACAAGTCGATGGCGAAAAGCCTGATATCCTGGCAAACAACAAAGATACCTGATTTACCTGATATCCTGATATCCTGATAAAGACTAATTACTTACCTTTGAATTACTAACCAACCGAACTTCGATCTACAGGAACCTCTTTGGATTTCCCACATGAGATGGATCTGAATCTTGGGAGACAACAACAGGTGAATATCCGATAGCTCCAACGGCGTTGAAGAAAATTGCAGTCATAGCCAGGTGCATCTTTCGTCCATAAACACTATAGACCTATACCAGGACCCTCTAAGGGGTGCCCAATGGAAGCCTATAGGTAGTGTGGGGTAGTCCATTGGACACCCCTTGGAGAGTCCTGGTACTACACCCTTCATCCTGTAGTTTCTCATGGCATCCCATGGCTCATATGCAAATCTGATCTTCTTTCAACATCCGCAAGCAATCTATACCCGGACCCTCCAAGGGGTGTCCATTCATAGTCCCTTAGCTGTTAAGAGGTGTCCATTAACCACCCCTTTGTGACTAAAGGTAGTTTGTCTACTATTGGTCTATTCTTTGTCTCGTCCCACCCTTTGCCTCTTCCGTCTCCGCCCGGCCATGGCACGGCGACCACGGCGCCTTCAGTCCAGCGGTCCCGGATGAAGCGCAGCGGGAAGTAGTCCGGCATCCAACCTGAGCACCCGCGGGCGCCCGGTTCGGCCTGGGGCGCCCGGTACGGTTCGGCCGTTGGGCGCCCGGTACGGTTCGGGTGCTACCCCGGTGGACGTGCGGAAGGAGCCCACTGAGCGAGCCGACCGACTCCCAGGTGGCTACAGAAACGACCCTCCGACGAACACATTCACGAAATGCACAATGGCTGGCCACTGGGATGACACCCGAACCCAACGTCCACATGCGTTGGCTGCCGTCAAGCCGCCATAGAGCGGCTTCTCTTCTTCGGCCCAGCCCAGCAGCCCGTGGATCATCACCAGGTCCGGCATGGCGGGGTCCGGTGGTCCGGGCCACAGACCCGGTCCGGCGTGGGTGGAAAAGAGAGGTGTGTGTGTGGGGGAGACTCGAAAGGACGGATGGATGGATGGCTGGATTCATTTAGTTTTCAAGAGTGTTCAGCGATCACGTGTCTTGAATGGATGGTACATGAAGAATCTGGCAAATGAAGTATCCAAGTGCAAAGTAGCCAAATTGATATGGCCCAAGGCTGATTCTGAACATGGACCCGAGTAATTAAGTATCATCTTGATCATGTAACCCATCCAATTACTGTTCAATCGATCTGAATATCTTTGGCCAGTGACAAGGCGTCCATCACGTTCCACTAAATGGGTGATGTTTGGTACAGCATCCAAAATTTTTGGAAACACTCTTGCAACAGCACCTGCAAGGCCTCATTTGTTTGTTTGTTTCGAGCCCAATTTTTTGTCGGAGAGGCCTCTCGGCGCGCTTCAAACACGCTTGTTTAAAGCTTTCGGATAGGAGGAGTCAGTGAGTATACTTGACACGATTTGACACGCATTTCTTTGTGACTTATTTCTATATACCTTCACCAACCAGTCCCAAGAAATTCGCAGGGTCTGCTTTCAAAACCAGGGTTTGCCCCCCCAAACCCGGGGTTTTGGTTCTTGGCACCCAGAAAGAGGCTGGAGCAGTGAGACCAGCGACTATGAATCCACACCGAAAACACTATAATTTCAGAGGGATACTAGAGGGCTCAACCCATGTCTTTTGCACGGGTTGTTTTGAGAATAGTTCGATCAACACTCTAGGGATATACTGAGAAAAACCGCTTGATTCGATGCTTTTCTTGGGAAACCCGTTTTTTTCATGGAAACCCTGGGTTTGGAGCATGGAAGTCGTGAATCACGGCAAGCAAACCTGACAACAAGGTAAGGGTTTAGTTGTTCAGGGTATATTATTTGTTACAAGAAATTATAAGAATACACCTAACATCACCCAACCAAATCATCAACCCCCAAGACTCCACACGAACGCACCGCTTCGCCACGCTCTCCAACCGTTCGCCCGCTTCGCCACGGTGTCTGCACCGTCGGACGGTCCGTCGGCGGGAATGGCTTCGGATCTGATTCAGCCGCCTGATGCCGCCGCCGGGCCGAAATCAGCACAGCAAGGAGGACATGCGCAAACAAACCTTAAATAAGTAAATACATCATATCAACTAGATATATAGTGTAATTTATATATGCAATACCATGTTTATACATATATATATACATATAAATGTAAAATATGTCATAAAGTATCTATAATACTATCTATAATATAAATATATATGGCCCAATGCTTGGGCAAATGGTAATGCATCAAACTTCAGTTATTAATAATTAGACGTAATTACAAAAGTAAATTCCACAAAGAACACACTGCAAGGTTCTGCTGTCGAGGAAAACGTACGTAGACCAGGAGAACCTCTTTGGTACTGTATACTTCTGGTGATAAAATGTGATAAAGGTCTGCAATCCACCCTTTAGAGCATTTAGGGTCCAACATTCCTTTGGTCTGCGTCCAACATTCCTTGGTCTGTGTCAGAAACGTCATTTGGAGGTCTTTCATTGAAGCTTCGCAACATTTCATTCGCATGGAATGGTCGGATTAGTTGCTATACATGGTGCTGCTCGAACTATGGCTTATATTCCAACGTGCTTTCAAGAGAAAGTTAATACTGCGAACCACAGAAGAGGTATGTCTCCGAAACAATTACTTTGAGGGGATGTTCACCCATCATGGTGGTGTGCTTTGGGTGCGTTTAAAGACATATATATGTTGTCAGTCAATTATCAGCTGAGTGCATCGTTTTTTTTCCACTCCATCCTGCATGCGACCACAGCCTTCAGCCTTCATGATCAGGTCGCTGGCGGTGTAATATGCTGCCTCTCCAAGGCAATGACCAGCACTACCGGGAGAGTCTGGCCTGATACCTGATACCAGGTATTGGCCGGGGTTGAAGCCGCTTCTATTGAACCATTTTCGATGAACAAGGGCCTAGGGCTCCAGTCGTACCTTCGTTTCCAAGGTGTTTGGAGATGTTTGGGGTGGGTGTGAATGGTGTGAGTCCCAAAAAACCATCGTGTCGTTTCGGTACGACTGGAGCCCTAGTTACCATCCATGGCCAAAAGAAAACTCACCCAACTCCAACTGGGAGGTGCCAGCTGGCAGTGATTCCTGCTCTATCGCTGTGGATGCGTCCAATTCTTGGAAGAAGCTGGCTGTGGACCCTTTTCAGCCAAATTCATACCTTTGCTGTTCAAAGGAACCTTGGTCCTCTAACACAATAGTCAAGAGTGTCCCCTAGCTCTGCTGATACCGTGTGGGTGGGTTCTGATTCATTTCGTGTCGAGCTTGTTGATGCGATCCAAACCTGCTCACACACACACACACACACTCCCACTCAAAAGTATATATAGGTTTTGCAGCAGGCTGCTTCCTCCGTCCATGTGGAGAAATGCACAAGTTCAACTGGTCTTTTGCCTGAGGCTCGATGCAAATATTTACTGGGGATGCATGATCCAATGCTCAGACCATGTTAAATGCAGTTCGCCACACAAATAGAAGGTTTGATTGCAAAGGGCAAAGACACTTTTTTCTTTTGGATATGGCAAGTTCGTTTGGAAGAAACCCGTAATCCTCATCAACACTGCGATCGCTCCGCTGCTTTTTCCCAGCGGGGATCTCCAGTTTCGCACATGTCCAGGGAATGACATGGCACCATGTCACCCCATTGCCTTTGACAAAACACTCCCCCTTTCTGAGAGAGAAGGTGGTCTCAGACGGGGACATTAGTTGCTAGTCCTAATTGATTGAGAAGACGGCAAAAGGTTGGAAGAAGCCTGTCTTGTTTCATCAGCCATCTGCCGCTGTGATTCATCTCTTGCAGATTCTGGGAGTATGCATACCTTTTTCGGCTCAATCGTCATCCTCAATCGCTCGACACAGTCGCGCACGGCTTAAGCGTGCACAATCAGCTTGGCAGCTTACACGCTGGCATCGGGCGCGTCCTGGGCAAACTGCTTAAACATCAATGTGTTGGCAGGGAGGTCGTAGTTTGACAGGTCAAAACATGTCAAAACCCAGGAACCCTGGTTGAAGCCCAAGTTATATAACCGACTCCCCCCCAAAAAGGGATAGTCAACCTACGATGGTGACCGTGGGAGGGGAGTTTGATGAAGTTTGACCCACACCCATGATGTTTCTTTGGACACATTGTTGCTGTCCTAGTCTTGGAGCCGTTTTTTCGTGTCAAAGGACATGTCATGAGGTCAAACTGCCTAGGTCAGCAAGCTTTGATTCAAGAAAATGCTCAGCTGATGTCAGCTTGACTCCGCTGACGGGCTGGAAGAGTTGTTAAGACTTCTCTCAATTTGGAAAGTTCGCATGAATTGCCTGTGGCGAAGGGCCCAACAAATCCAAACATTATGTTCCTGGAGTCACAAAGGGGTGGTTAATGGACACCCCTCGACACCCCTTTCGAGGGTCCGGGTTCATTGTTTTTCCTTAAATATATGTTGTTCATGCACAGCTCTTGCTCGATCGATCTGGGAAGGTTCCTCCGTGGGCCGCAAATGGACCGAAGCCCATTGTGGGAGTCCTTGAAATTCTGCACGTCGACAGACTCCCTGAGTTTCCCGGAAAGATCAGGAAAGTAAAGCTTAACGTTCCACCAGCTTGAGTCCCCCAAAAGAAGTGTTGCAAATGATCCCACTTGTCCTGGGTAGGAAAAGAAGGGATCCCATGGGATCCCATGCTTGCGATGCCGTCGCCCCGTTTTCACCCTCCGTCCTCGCGCTTCTCGAAGGGGGTGGCCGCCCAGGGATTCAAGGGGTCCAGGGTCGATCCTGCGGACGTGGGTTGATCCTAGAGACGGACCCCCCAAGCCCAAGCCAGGCACGAAGCCCACGTTCCTCAAACAGATCAAATGAAAGCTGAGCAAGCCCCCCCCGTGTAGAACTTGTAGAGGAAAATGATCTTGCAGGATCTTGCAGGGAACAAACTGCTTCACTTCCATGATTGCTACGGCTCCAACTCCACTCCGACGAACACATCACGTGGAAGTGGAAAGCCCCTCTGCTTGTAAAGGAAAGTAGTCTTCCAAGGGACCATGCCATCCACTTCCATATGATGCGTTCGTCAAAGAATACAGTCGTGTTTGTTGCATCTCTATATAGATGCCGGTCACCCATGGTATCGAAGCATATACTTTGCAGGCATTGTGAGACTGAATTCAAGTGCGCGGTGGAAGTGGTTCTTTCCAACAGGATAGATCTCAGCCAGCTCTACCTTTAGAAGTGATTTTTTACGGGATGTGCTTATAGGTATGGCGTCACAGGATAGATCAAATGGTGTCAGGAAGTCATATTTCCTTTGCACATCGCCATGCATCGCCATATACCAGACGATCCCAAGGTGTGCGGAGTGCTCCACCGAATGAATCGCCCCAGAATCGGAAAGGAACGGCGCTCCGCGCGCCCCCAACGGATGTGCCGTAGAGGGCCGGTAGGGGTAGCAACAGGTGCGCCCGCACAGCACCATGTGTAGCGTTCTGAAACAAAGACCCCAAATCATCCCCGAACCAACAGGTGGCTTCATGAAGTGTCAAGTCACCGGGGGGGAGCAGCCGATGTCCGGGAAAGCGGCAACTCAGTCGAAAACTAGTAACAACCAAGGCGTCTTGACGCTGTGTTTGTCACCAAATTGCAACTTCAACCTACAGAAGTATTCATGAAGGGGTCGTAGAACCACAGGTGCGAACCACACCGCTCTCGGTTGCTTAAGAGGGCGTCCAAAGAGGGAAACTGCGCTTGAAGGGACGAGCATACAGCGCCAGATTGACAGGGCTCCGCCCAAAAACACCGGGTGACAAAAGAAGTTGCGATACAGGCCTTGCCTGAGCACTGGGACAAGAATCTGTGCAAATGGTTTTTCCCTCTTAACATCTCTGAACCCGGCAGCGGCACACTAAGCACACACACACACAGGAAGGCTCTTAAAAGGGCCATGGCAGGCCGGATCTGCGATCGAAGGAGCGACGAGACATGGAGCGACGAGACATGGATCCGGCCCATCAGTCGCCGGGCCAAACCGATCAATGCGTTGGACCGATCGCAACAGCTGAAGCAGAAGAAACGGAGGTGACCGATGCAATGTTGGTGCTCCAAATCATGTAGAATATGTTTGTTTGGCCAAGCGGTGCATTGAGGCGATTTGGTTGCATTGAGGCGAGGTGTTTGGCTATGGACATGTCACTTTTGGATACCTTTGGTGATCATGACAGCCACCATTTCGACGTGGATCTACGCGGTAAGAGCTGCTCTGTTCAGCACCCGGCAAAGAAACCACCCACTCTGTTTGATTGGGAATGAACACTTTACTTTGGCTTCAGGGCCCGGTTTTTTCGACCCACTGAGCGTCGTATTCTTTTGACCTGGCGCCACAGGCCGCGGAATGATGTACCCGTCTCACAGCATTGACAGGTGGTTCGAAACCGACAAACACAGCTTTTACTTTTATTCGAGCAATTTCTAGTTGGTGGCTTTTGTTGCGAAGCGCTTTTGTGTTTTGCAGATATGAGAGGTCTGCGGTTGTGAAGGAGCAACAAAAAACGTTCCCTGGCTGTAATCTATGAAATCCACAACGGTCTTGATTCGCTACCAAACAATCATGGGAGCATATGGGAGCCGCTTGATGTAGATAACAGCAACGCCTGCGAGGTTCAAAGGCATCTGCTGGTGAACTGCTGGTGACACAATATTACACTCCCTAGAACTAACATGGAAGTGGAGAATGGCCCCGTAAGGAAGACCCTGAAATTCACTACAAACAGGTGGTTTTCCTCACTGCACGCAATCTTTGCTTACGACTCGAAGGGTCCACTGTTGATTCGATTCGACTCGTTTGATTCGAGTGGTGCGAGACGGTACACATGTGCTGTAAAAACACCCTGACTGTTTGAAGGATCGACTGCGTGGTTCGCTTCTGGTGTGGTTTGTCTTTGATTTCTTTTGGACATGATGGACATCCAAAAAAAGACCTCCATGTGAGATCTGGAGGCCATGTGAGCTCTGGAGGCATTCGAACCGCGAGAGAGAGGCACAGAAGTAAAGAACGGAGGTAACTCACCACTGATCCACTGATCCGGGTCCTGTTTCGTTTGGTCAAATCAAGCTCCTTGTTCCTCCTGTTTCGTTCGGTCCTTTGCCCTGCTTTCCCCCGACCCCTGACCAGGCTGGCCAGGGCTCAGTGACTGAAAACATCATGAACATCAACTCTCCGAGGCCAATTTGCCAAGGAGTCAGTTGATGCTTCCTTTCACCATGAAACACTCCCTTTTTGGCCAAGGTGTGCGGTATTCCTTTGACCTGGTTGAGCCCAGGCCATAACGACATCTTCTCCACTCCCACCGCTCCTCCCTTGATCACGCAATCGTTGGTGGCAGAGTTCATCTGCCCTGCCGCCACCATCGAGGAGTTTGAGTTTCATCTATCAGGGACTTCCCTTCCCAACCAATGCTTCATTGTGTTCGACTTCAGTTCAACCAGTTGATCCAATTCCAAAGTACTTCCAGGGGACCACGATGGCAACCACTCGGGGGGGGAACTCACCTTGTCACATGTTCAGGAATCAAACCCAACATCTATATGGAGCGGAATGCAGCGTATTGCCCCGCCTGAGGTTTGTATAAAGTCTCAAGATTAAAAGCAACATGCTTGAAGCCATGTCAGGCTGTGAGATTCTCTTTCAGGGATGCAACTTTAGGCATTATTCATGGATGTAAACCTCATTGCCCATTCATAAGCCTGAATACCTCTATTGCAGTTCTCATGACAATTCCTTTGCTGATGTCTCTCAAACATCCGCAAAACCTGGTATCCCGAGAG